TCTGGTGTCAAAGTCAGCCAGTGTCTGACCCTGGTGGTAGCTTTATTCCTGCAGAGCTGAAGTTTTGGTCCTCTGTTTTCCCCATATCTCAACTTCTTTCCCTGCAAGTATCCAGGATTGCCTAGTCCTTGTCATAGCCAAGCTTTTCTGCATCTTGCTTGTACCTAAGCTCTGCTAGGATCTACCGAGTCCTTCTGAGTCACATACCGAGGCTCTGATAACCTTACCATAGGCTTCCCTGAGCTGTGCAGTGGAACGTGCTCTTTCTTCCTCCTTTTTCAGGCTGTGCCAGTGCCTGCAAGGGAATTGCAATGCAGCTGGGTCCAAGAGGGTCTGGTCTGGTCAGGACACAAGTGAGAAGTTTTTAGGCTCTCCTTCAGTTGACTGTGCATTTTATCTCTTTAACGCAGGAAAGTGTCTTGAACACGTGGTTTGACTAGTCAATTACTGGAGAAAAGGGAGGCAGCATCTCCACCTCTGACAGCATTTTGGAAGGCTTTACCTCTGCCGCAGGAAGGCGTAGGGCTGTGAACCCAGAGTGGAGAGAGGCAAGCGCCCTCAGTGAAGTGGGTAAATACGAGCGGTTGGATGTAAGACGCAGCTCGATTGTCATCGTTTCCTGGTAGCTATTTTAGGAAGCCTGCTCCAGGACACGGGGTGGTCACTGCGCTCTGAGCAGGGCCTGTGCTGCTGGCCAAAAGGACGGTCTTACTCATGTACTTCCCAGATTCACTTGTTTCCACTCCGTTGCATGCACAAACATGATGTTCCCACAGCGAGTCGCACCTGGGAATTACAGTCCTTCTGGGGTGTGTTGGAGGTTGGTTTTTTTTGGAGTAGGGGTGTGTGTCAACTTGAATTCCAGCAGATTGTACTCTCTGTGTGACTATTACATTGGGGGAACAGGCAGACAAAAACAAAGGAGAGGGAGGAATGGGTAGGTCTTCCCCACCTTTCCGGTCAGCAGCATAGTTTTAAAATGACTGGGTAACCTTTGCATGGGGATGCTGCCAGTTTTTAGGCCCATGCTGACGGATATAACTGAAGATATGGATTTTGTGGTGGGGAGGGACCCACCCTTGTCGGTGGGTGCCACCCTTAGTTTCCTGTCTTTGCTGATGTGTAGAGCTCTGTAGATGCAGGCAGCCCTGTATTGTCCAGGAGTAGCAACACATACCTCTGTGAACTTGCCACAGCATGCAAGTGAAAAACTCCACTTTCGATGTTACATGTAAGATTTGCAGTTATTCTTGCACGAATCTGATTTTTCTCTTGCAACAGCCTGGGATGCTGCTACAGCTTACTGTCACCTGTGTTGTCTCTTTCCTGGCTGTAGCTTTTGCCCGTGCTTTTATACCACGGATCTAAGTGCTTTTTTACTGGAGTTTGGGAGGTGGGTCGTGTTTGTGGCCTGTGGGGGAATTAGGCAGACTATGGGTAAATATTCTGATAGTCCTTCTGGACTGAACATTTATTTCAGTGTTCTCTGGAACTGGTGGTTCTAAGGGTTAGGAGGGAATGTAACTCTCTGCTGCTTACAGTTGCTGGGGGAATTCACAATTTAAAAAAAAAAAAAGGGGTAGTTGGGAAGTTACAAAAAATAGAACAAAAATCCACTATTTAGAAAGCCCAACTCCTGAGGCAGACAGTTTCTTGCTATAAGCCAATCAGTAAGGACTTTTCCACCCAGCTTCAGCAGGTGGAACATTAAAGTCTTAATGGTAATATGGGAGCCTAACTACTGCTTGTGTAGACCTAATATATGCATATATACATTTCAGATAGGTACCTGAGACCAAAAAAGATGATAGTGATAGCATTAAAAATAAAAAGGGAATTAGCTTACAGAAGTTCTCCGGAATAACTAAGCCTTACACCAGCTCCAAGAAAAGTAGTGAAGAAAATAAAATCAGGTAGACAAATGTAGTAATGAAGCATTTATTGCTCATAAATGGAATATTAGATTCCACTTAGTCTGAACAGAATACATGGATACCTTTAGCTTGTTTAAATGCTTAAAGAGTCAGAATTATTCAGGTGAATATCAAAACTCGAGTATAGTACACTATGTTGTATGGGTGCCCTGTTACTCTGAGTGAAGGGCTGTTGCCTTGTCTCACATTGGCTGCAGTCCAAGCTCTGCATTCAGAGACATCATTCGGTTAGCATGGAGTTCCAGGTTATGTGCATTAGCCGACTCGTTGTCAAACATGAGAAAATCTGAAATGTTTTAATGTACTGCAAACTGCGCTAAGGTTTGTGGCTTGCTGTTTGCTGCAGGCCAAATCTGTGCACTCATGCTGTTGTAGTGGTTCAGATGATGCGTGGTAGGAAAAACACTTGACTGTGGCTCTGAGTCCTGGGCAGGATGAGAAGTCTGTGTAGGCGAAGGTATCTGGCTGCTGGAGAAGTGGGAACAGAAGATGTAGATGAGATGAGGTGGTGGGTTTGTAGGAGAGGCTTTGCTTGCACAATGTTAGCTTCTCTTTATCAGTAACACTTTCATTATGTGATTTGTTTGGAAGGATAGAACACAAAGACATGGCGTAAGAAAGAATTTGGAGTGGGTTGAAGGACATACAGGAGCAGGTAGTCTGACAGCTTCTGTAGAAGCTACTGGAGGCCTTAGCACAGCACTACTTTGTTGTGTGAACTTATATTGGAATAATAGGGTACAATAAGGAGAGAGGGAGAAAGCAGAGAAATATCACTCTTATTTCTAGCCTTCCAAAAAGAGTGTATGAGAAAGTGTTTGGTTGTTACTTCTCCCTCTTTGCTCACAGCAGAGAAGTTAACTGGTGTGGAATGGGAAATCGGTGTATAAAATGAAGTAGAAAAGAGGGGGAGGAGTTCCCTGGAAATTTAGAAAATGTATGATGACACATGCTTTCTTTAGAAGCTCCAAGATATGTGGTGGAGATTTTGTGCAACGTTTCTGTGTGACATATAATTTTTTCTTGTGGTCTCCAAATATATTGGAGCTCCTGGGTTCTTCTCTTTTCTGGAAACCATTAATTGAGATGGGTAGAAAGAGATGCTCATACTGGAGCATGTTTAAATGAGTCTGAACAGGATAGGAGACAAAAAAAGGTGGGTGGGTTGTGTTGAAAAGATGTGGGAGTGGTAGCTGAGCCCTTTTTACCCCGTTTGCTCGTCCAGTTCCTGTGCCTGGAGAAGGTCACAGGATAAGTGCAGACAACAAGAAGTGGAAACTGTAATGGCATGAGAAGAGTACTTTCATGGGTAAATCGCAAACAAATTGGATAGTCCATGAGAAGTAAGGCATGGAGACCTTCTGTGTGTGCAGTTCTGTACCCAAGCACACAAAATTGTGTTTCCCATGGCTTGCCTTTAGCGTCCTGTCTGAGAAAGTCTTTGTTTCTATGGTGTGGCACCAGGCAGAAGAGCAGGACACTTAGTATGTTGGCAAGCATTGTTCTTTGCCGATGGGGAACCTAATCTTCTTAATGACTGGCCTTGCTGACCTCCTGACTGCTTTCATGTGTAAAGGAGATAGGATGTAGAGCAAGATGGGTTATAGTTTGTTGTCTGGGCTCATACACAGTGAAGGGAAGTGACTTTGTTTTGATGTGATAAAGCTGTAGTGTCTGCATTGATTTATGAACAGTAGTAAGTTTTCACACGATGATGACATGAGAAGCAAGGGAGACACAGAATGATATAGAGTGGTAGATTCTTGACTTGATGCCATTTAGGAATCAAAAAAAAAAAAAAAAATCAAACCCAAAATAAGCCCAAAATGGTAGCTGTCACTTGGGAGCAGTTGGCTTGAGGAGGCTTTTGAAATATTTCTCTTTCACAGTGCACAGTTACTGTTTAAAGGGAAGTTTTCCATGGTGCATATTGGAAATCTTGCCTTAATATGAGACCTTATTTATATCTTAATCATGCCCTTCCTTCAACTTAGTAGTAAAAAGTTACTGGCTACCATGGAGCGGAATCAAGTCCTTAATGCAAGCGTAACTTGAACTCAGTATTGGCATGTTTTTGTTGGTGTCTACATACATGTCTTCCATGGCAGTAGGCTTGTGGGGGTTTTTTGTTTCGTTGGTTGGTTTTTTTTGAGCCTTTCAGATACTCAGAAGTAGGAGGTGATTGCTGAAGACTGAAGCAGGGACACAGAGATGCTAATGGTTTACAGTATCCCATCCTCACAGCAGAATTTGGTCTCACCTTAGATCAGTGGATTTTTTTTTTTGCACATACAGCTGTTTTTAATAAAAACTAGGCAGAATCTCTCATCCCTCTTCTTTTTTTGTTATTGTTTGTTTGTATTGAATGTTTCATCCTTTTTTAGTAGAATATGATTGATTCAAAACTGATAGCAGTTAAGGTTTCTGGACAGCTCCCATTTCTGGCTTGCAGCTCTGCTAGATCTCAGAGGTTGGGATGCTATTTCACGTACATTGGTTGTGAAATAAACTTGCTTAAGTGATGTTTCCAAAGGAAATCCCTAGTATCCCCGTGATTTCAGAGCAGGTGCTTTGAACCAAGTAGCAGTTTTGTGTCAGAAATGTGCTTCTTACCAACTCCGTGAATATTCGTGCTGGAAAAATTGCAATTTATTCGCTCAGCAGGAGCTTCAGTCTGGGCATTCTGCAACAAGATGCTGAGATAGATTTTGCTGGTGGTAACAATTCTTCATTGCATCTTTTTCACCAGACCATGGGCAGGAGGCCTAATTCAAGTGAACAGGGGAAGTACTGAAGATAGAGGAGCTTAGGATAGGGAAGAAGATCAGGACAATGATTCTACCCGGGACCAGAATGGGGAAATTGGATCCCCTTGTGGCGCTTGTCACAATGTAGTGCAGACAGGCTGGGTTTGGGCAATTCTTAACTGATACATGCCTTACTTTGCAACATTGTGATGTGCTTCTAACCTAAATTTGAATGTATCTGATAGTGCATACAGCATTAGTCAAGCAATAGTTTATAAAACAATTGTTAAAGTAACTTTTTTCTTTTTTTCCCCTGTAGCACACATCTGCTGTGAGGACGTGTTTGGCATCTTGGGAGAAAATTTTACTTTTCCAGTAAAAATAGACCAAAACATAGAGGAAATTATTTGGACAAAAAACAAGGATAGAGTGGCTGAATGGGAAGGGCAAACCAACCCCATATATTTTACTTCTCTCCGGAACAGAAGCTTGCTTAACAAGGAGAATGGGCACTTGACTATATTTAACTTGGAAAACAATGATGCTGGCACATATGTGTTAGACTGCTTGACTTCTGGGGAAAAAACTTATGTCTTAACCTTCATACTTGCTGTGTTAGGTAAGTAGTGGAAGAACTGCATAAAGAATTTGCACCACTTTATTCACTTTAAGAAGTCTAGAAGGGGGTTTGTTTATTTGTCAGGGAGGCAAACAAAAACAGAGGGGCGCTGTTCTTTGGGTCTGTTGTTAAGTTGCTTAGGCACTTTAAATAAATTTTCAAAGGTGACATCTAATTTGTGTGCCCATCATTACCCACCTTGGAATGGCTTCTAGAATGTGTGTAGATGGCACACTGTGTACTTTCAGGTAGATAACCAAACTCTTTGAGCAAGCTGACCAAGTTATCCTAGGCAGTATGTATCTACTAAAGATGCTCCTGCAGGCATATTATACATGCTTGAATATCTGTGGCATCATTCTGTGCAGATCTATGCAGCTTCACTAGTAGTCTTTGGGAAATATATTTGACCAGTGTGTATATTAGTCCTATTGACAATGAACTATGAGGCAGTGAAGAACCACAAACTGGGCCACTTTTAGAAATACATTTCTTTCTCTCGCACATGCACACGTGCACACCTTACACATACACTTCTACCTCTACACTCTCCTGCTGCTCTTGTTGCTCCAGCCCTTGTCCTGTGCTAAAATTCAAGGCATGTGTAATCAAAGTAATACAGAATGTTTTCTCTCCTTTTAGCTCCTCCATCAGAACCTGAAATAAGTTGCAACGTCAGTGGTAATGACATGGCGTTAAAATGTACAGCAGATTTCCCAAAGCCTCTGAATTACTCTTGGAAGTTCAGTAGCTTACCATTCACTCATCAGACCCAGGAAATTGTCATCCCTAAGAAGAATGTTCCTGCTTCTGAGAAAGCTGCATGTTTCATTAAAGTCTCTCAAACGGAAAAGAGCTCTGAAATCTCTTTGACTCGATGCTTTCCAGATAAAAAAGGTAATGAATGGGTCAGGTTGTTTATGCAAGTCTGAGAGGCTAGGCTGGGAAGCAGCATGGACTTTGTCTGTAAGGTTTCTACTGACTTGTCAAGAAGTTGAATTTGAAGAGTAAAAAGCATCAGAAGTCATTTGTCTGCTAAAAGTGTGTTTAAGGTTGCTGAAAGGTGTGAGTTTGACAGTTTGACGCCCCTGGAAAGATACTTTTTGCAGGGATCTCACCAGGATAAAGCCTTCTGCTGTGACTTGAAATGAGTAATAATAAAGAAGGAGACACACTTAGAAGATCTCTTCTGAACCTTTTGGCGTTGTGTAATTAATACTAATGTTAGGCTGTTTGTACTACTTTCCAGGAACTGGAATGAAACTACTCAGTCACTTTGAGTGAGTCATCTAGCAGTCATTAGATGAAATAATTTCTCACCTAGCATGTGCATCAGTCAATGAGCATATGTCTTTTCCTCCTTCACAGGCAGATATAAAAAGGAGAAAAGAGAGTTTTCCCCACTGTTGCTTATTGCTTTGGGACAGCCTCAGCTGAGCTTCAGGCTTGCTTGCTTTTTTTTTTTTTTTAACATAGCATGAGAACTTGTTTGGAACCATCTGGTTTGTAGGATGTGTAAGGCAGTCCCTAACTGACAAAATTTCCCACTTCTCTGCAAAAGTAATTTTCATGGTTTACCAGTATAGAATTCTTCCTCCTTCATTGCAATTATGTGTTAGAGACTTGTTAGAAATGAGGCATGTGGTGGGTTGACCTTGGCTGGCTGCCAGGTGCTGACCAAAGCCGCTCTATCACTCCTCCTCCTCAATGGGACAGGGGGGAGAAAATACAACAAAAGCCTCGTGGGTCGAGGTAAGGACAGGGAGATCACTCGGCACTTACCGTCACAGGCAAAACAGGCTTGACTTGACTTGGGGAACATTAATTTAATTTATTGTCAGTTAAAATCAGAGTAGGATAATGAGAAACAAGAACAAATATAAAACACCTTCCCCCCGCACTTCCTTTCTTCCCAGGCTCAAATTCACTCCTGATTTCTCTAACCTCCTCCCCCCTAGCAGTGCAAGGGGATGGGGATTGGAGGTTGCAGTCAGTTCATTATGGATTATCTCTGCTGCTCCTTCTTCTTCATACTCTTCCCCTGCTCCAGTGTGGGGTCCCACCCATGGGAGACAGTCCTCTGTGAAATTCTCCAACATGGCTCCTTCCCATGGGCTGCGATTCTTCACGAACTGTTCCAGTGTGGGTCTCTTCCATGGGGTGCAGTCCTTCAGGAATGGACTGCTCCAGCCTGGGTCCCCCATGGAGTTGCAGGTTTTGCCAGCAAACCTGCTCCAGCATGGGCTCCTCTCTCCACGAGGTCACAGGTCCTGCCAGGACCCTGCTCCAGCATGGGCTTTCCACAGGGTCACAGCCTCCTTTGGGCATCCACCTGCTCCGGCATGGGGTCCTCCTCCATGGACTGCAGGCGGAGATCTGCTCCACTGAGGGCCTCCCTGGGCTGCAGGAGGACAGCCTGCATCACCATGGTCTTCACTATGGGCTGCAGGAGAATCTTTGCTTTGGCACCTTGAGTGCCTCCTCCCCCTCCTTCACTGACCTTGGTGTCTGCAGAGTTATTTTTCTCGCATATTCTCATTCCTCTCTCCCAGCTGCTGTTATGCAGTGTTTTTTACCCTTTCTTAAATATGTTATTGCAGAGGCGCTACCAGTGTCACTGATGGGCTCAGCTTTGGTGACCAGTGGGTCTGTCTTGGAGCTGGCTGGAACTAGCCCCATCCAACATGGGGGCAGCTTCTGGCATCTTCTCATTGAAGCCACCCCTGCAGCCCCCTTGCTACCACAACCTTGCCATGCACACCCAATACAAGACATTTGCTGAAATTTCATTTGGCTGAGATCTGGCTCGGCCTTTCATAGGCCAAAAAATGGAAGAGCCATTGCTTTTCAAGTGGTGATGTGCCTTTGCTGAACTAAGGTACTTACCACGTAACTTTCCTGGAGCTGGCTTAGGGTTTTGCTAGTAACTGACTCTGGTGCATTAATTTCTTGAGGTTACTTTTTTAAAAATGGATAGCTATAAAACATACTCAAGGTTGTATTTCTACTGAAGTAGTCTATCACACAGTTGCTTTTTCACTAACCAATCATTATTTACTTTATTTTTTTTAAAGGGGACAGCTATGTCAAAAGAAACAGAGGTGGTCTTATTGCAGCTTTTACTCTCTTAATTCCAGTTGTAGGAGTACTAGGATTCCTATACAGAAGAGGTATGTATACCATTACCTAATTGAGCTTGATATGCTTCAAGATTATGCTGATCTAAGGTTCTGTAGCATGTATGAAAGTTTCTGATCTACTACTTGTGAATACAGTAGTAGAAAAAAGTACCACTTAGGCAAAGGCTAATAGATTTGAAGGAACTTTCTTGCACTTGGACACTGGGCTCTGTGTACTGGGAAACACTGTAGTTTGTATTTGCATGTTTCTCCCTGAGACTGTTTCATTTACTGTGTGTATCTATGGCTTCTCCCATTCCTACCTGAGAGTGCTTTCACTGCCTTTTTTGAGAGCATCATGAAGATGCTGTCAAGGTCAGATTTCTTGTTGGGACAGGCTCTTACCAGGGTTGTCGAATACCCGAGTCTAATCTGAGAACTCAGTGTGCTCAACTGATAGGTAGGGACTTCTGTGCCTCCTGTCAGCCTGTATTGCCATCATTTTGGAGTTCTAGATTTGTTTCTTGGTTCATCCCTACACTGAATTCGAGTATCTTTTTTTTGTAAATCTGACAGCTTATTCAGAAATGGCAATTGTAGGCTGTCATTGTGTATCTTTTGCTGCCACCTTTTTAGGTTAATATGTCAGATTGTTTGAGAGAGTCCCAACCAGGAATACGTTGCCTCATCCTAAGAGTGCTCTATGTGGAAAATTTCTGTTGGTTTCCAGGTGGGGTCAATAGTTGGGGGTGGCTGCAGGGTGAAGAGCATGGGATGCATCTCCTGTCTGGGAAGGACTGATTGATGGTATTCTGGAGGGAGGCTCTGATCAGACCATACATAGATGTATATTGCATGTGGACCTTTCCTGATCATTTTCCATTTAGTTTCTGTTGGCATGGAATCATAAAATAAACTAGGTGGGAAGGAATCTCTGGAGGTTTCATTCAACTTGCTGCTCAAAGCAGGACCGACTTTAAAGCTAGATCAGGTTGCTCAGAGCCTTGTCCAGTCAAACTTTGAATAACTCTAAGGATGGAAATTCCTCAGCTTCTTTCAGCATGTGTTCAAGTGCTGAATCACCCTTGTGGGGAAGGATATTTTCCTTATTTCTCTTAGAGTTTTGCCTTTTGCAACTTGCAGCCATTGCCTCCTGTCTTTTTGTTCTGTACTTCTGAGAGGAGTTCCCTTTTCTTTCTGTGTAAATTAGTTGTAGACTGCAATTAGCCATTCCCCTAGCCTTCTTTTTCTTCAGGTTGAACAAACCCAATTCTCTCAGCACCTCCTTGCATGTCTCCTGCCCTCTAAACATCTTGGCGGACACTTGCTGGAGTAGCTTCAGAATGTCAGTGTTTTTTCATGAACTGGGAGCCTAAAACTAGACGCAGTACTCCACATGTGGTGTCACAAATACTGAATAAAGGGGAAGAATTATTTCTGTCGATGGGCTGACTACGCTTCTTTAAGTCAAGTATTCAGTTGCATGTCCTCAGTTAATTTTTTCTAATCTGGGGGGGATGGTGTGTGTGTGGAATGGATGGAGGCTATCAACTAGTTTCCAAAAGCACAAAACTTTATTTCTGAGTAATTTCTCCAGGTATTCCATTTGTTTTGGTGCAGGTAGACTTAAACTTGGAACAGGAAGAGCTACTCTGAAGAACAGTCTGCTGCATGGCTCAGGTAAGAAAGCTAGAATGTCACAACATATGGAATTCAGACTATTGCTTTAATTTGGTCTAGGCTTCTAAATTTTTTACTCTGTAGCAGTATAGTCTTTCATTTGAGAGGTGAAGGAGTAAGTTTTGTTTCAGGCCTTAGTTATTTTACAGAGTGTAGTTATTTTTTCCACATCATTGCAGGCCTGTCTTCTCCTTGTAACTGTCAAGATGAGGGAAGGAGACAGTCAGTGGAGGAACTTCTCACCTCTCCATTAGTTACCAGTCTGCTTCCCACCCATTATTTCTTTACGTGATGCCCTTCTGCAGGCAGTACAGATTCTCAGCGTTGTCTGCATTCCTGTCGTCCTGTCCAGATCTGCACTTGTGCTTCTGCTATCCATTCTAATCCTGCATTGTTTTCCTCGGGTGTGGGTTTTTGTTTTTTGTTTTTAGTTTTGGGTTTTTTTGTTTGTTTGTTTTACTTCTTTAATTTCCAGCAAGATTGTTCAATTCTCTGGCTTCTGGGTCTGTGTGTTGGGGTCTGGGAATCACTCTATACAGTGAGCAGCTAAGGAAGGGGACAACTCCTTTAGTCTGTGCTTCTTTCACAAGGGTGAATGAGGCTAACGTGTTTCAGCTTTAACATGTATGCATCTTGTTGCCAGGACCACTGTGGTCTGTTCTTACAAACCAAACTAAATCAGCCCCTAGGCAGTCAAGCAGATTAGGGAGAACAAGGGAAGACTCTTAAAAACTACTTTATTGTGAAGGTCACCAGACCAAATACTGTTTTGGTGGGGAATGGCCAAAGCTCCCGCCATCAGATACGAGCTCAGTGCCCTGTTGGAGTGTTCTGGTGTTGAACTAATGTGGCTCCATGCGGGATACTCAGTCTGGTATCTTAGATGACCTGCTGGAGTTAGCATAAAGCTGGAGCAGGATGTTTCTTGAATTGCAAACCACTATGTCACCCTTGCAGAGACTTTCTGTATGTTTAATTCAATTTCTTAAGTTCTTTAATTTCTGAAGTTTCTTAATGTTTTTATGGGTTTGGAGGTTATAAAACATGGTCCTTGGTTATGGGCCTGGAAGAGATGCCACAGGTAGGGAGACAGTCCTGTGAAAGCAAGGTTTGGGTTTTTTTTCTCCCTTTCTACCCCCCATGCCCCAGCATATCAAAGCCTTACAAGATTTTTAGCCCAACTTTGGATAAAGAACTTCATTTTTCTTCTGATATTTTCATACATTTGTTAAAGCTGTAGTTCTAGCCCATGGTTCAGAGATTGCTGAATTCCAGAGACTACGGATGGATTTGAAGGTGAAAAAAGGAGAAGGATGGGAAGAAAATAAAAAGAACAAAAACCTCCTCCTTTTGGTACTGCACTTAAATTTACTTTAGAATGGCCCACGTTTCTATTAGAGTTTCTTAAAGGTCTGCAAAGAGAAGGGGTTTAAAGTCACAGTGTTAGTGCAACACATAGGTGAAATAAAAAAAGGAGATGTGGATTCTCTTCTCAGCTGTCTCTGGCTTTTTACGGCAAATCTCTGCAGCTTTATCTCCTTAAGTAAACCCACTTCAGAAATATTTTGTAAAGCTGTAAGCATAAGTATACATAATGTTGGTTATGGTCTGGGACCTTAAGTGGTTGCTGGAGGGAAGTTGAAGTTGAAATTAATTGTAAGTTCTTCAATAAAGTGTCATAACATACTAGTTATCAGGAGTATCTGCTAAAAGTGTTGTAATTAAACTGTCACTTTAAGGCTGAGTTGCATGTTTTGCAGACTATTGTGCTACCTCCATACACATTTCTAAAAAGAATTTCTGTTTGCTTGCAGCTACATCTTCACAAGCTGTTGATTGTGAGAATGGAAAGTCTGAAGCAGGTAACAAGCGAGATGGTGCCCTAAAACAGGGGAACATGAAGGGAGGAATTAATTTTGCCCATGGCCTTTCGCAGTCCAAAACTTATTAGCATGTTCTCAGTGCAGAGTTTACCATTCCCCTGTTGGTATAGAAAGACCTATTGCCTTAGGAACAGTAAATGTTGATGGGTAGATCACTAGATGAGAAGTCAAAAAGACCTGGATCCCTCTGTTTGTTGAACAGTACGTAACAATTGCAGAGGAGAAGGTGTGCTGCTGAGCTCTGGACAGCACAGAGCAATGACATATGCTGGTGTGGGGAAGAAGCGATGGAATGTGCTCCTGAGGGACTGTAGCTCTTCTCTGATCTCTTTTCAGATGAAGAATTGAACAAGGAGAACAGTGCCCTGAAAGACAAGCAGACAGTTAACAGGGGTGTAAATCAGGAAGGTAAGTGCCTGTTCTGTGGAGCAGTCAGTGCTAATGACCCAGTGGGAAAACTGGCCAGGATCCCTTGGAGTTGAAGACTCAGAGCAACTTCTGTGTAATGCTTCTCAGTGGAGGTATTGGGGGGGGATTGTGCCATGAATCCTGAACACCTGTTCTCTGTGCAGGAGTTTCAGGAGCAAAGTAAACCAGCTTTCAGGCTGTAGTTAACGGTAGAGCAAGTCTTGTGGTTTTACTACCCTTGGAACTAACCCCAACAGAGCATACGGACTTGAAGGATGTGTGTTTTGGAGATCATTTGGTTTAAAAAAAAAAAAATTAAAAAAAATTTCCCAGTTAGAGTGAGATGAGAATACTAGTCAAGTAGGAGTCCCTGCTGAAGTGCTGGCTTCTGGTCTTCTGGTTAATGCTGCCTGTTGGGAGATCTCTGCAAGGGGGCCTCCAGTCCCCCAGTGTGTTTACATGAAGCACTTAAGTGAGGAGGAAGAGTTGATGTGACCAAGAGGAAGCTTTGCCAAGAGGAAGCATGGTTTGGAGAGATTGCTGCTCTGTGAAATGGAGTCAGGCTGTCCTTCATTGTCTCTGGTGGAAGACGGTACTTTTTGTGCATGTGTGTCTGTCTTAAATCTCCCTGACATCTGCTGGAAAGGCAATGTAACAATTCAAGCAGTCAGGAAGATTTCTGGGCAGTGTTAGGGACAACTTCTTCACACAGACTACCAGATGCTCCAGCAAGGACTTATGTGTGGCTGTATCTGCTACTCACTAACAGGGGAGGACTGGATGGGGCTGTGGTCACGAATGGCTGCCTTGGCTGTAGTGCCCAAGAAACAGCTCCAGATCCTGAGAGGAGTGAGGAAGGTAAGCATCAGAGTACAGGCCCTGCACTTTCAGAGAGCAAATTTCCGCTTATTCAGGAAGACGGTAGGCAGGATCTCATGGGAGACAATTCTGAAGAGCAGAGGAGCTCAAGAGAGCCATCAGGCCTCTAAGGAGGACTTTCTCCCAGCACGAGCACAGGCCATCCCCATAGTCAAGAAAACAGGCAGGCAAATCAGGAGATCAGCTTGGCTAAGCAGGGAGCTCCTGACAGGGCTCCAGTGCAAAAATAGCTTATATTAGATGTGGAGGCAGGGGCAGGCAGGCTACAATGGAGGAATTTAGGAACACTGCCAGGGCCGATAAGGATGATGTCAGGAAAGCCAGGGCTCAGGGAGGCTTGAAACCATTGTGGGATGACAAGGACAATGAGAGCAGCTTCTGCTGCTAGGTTATCTGTGAAAGAATAAATGAGGAAAACATGGGCATGTTGCTGAACACGGGATTGATTTAGTGATATCTGATGCTGATGAAGTATAGGCTGGATGAGCAGACGGTGAGGTGGACTGAAAACTGACTCAATGGCTGAGATCAGAGGGTTGTGATCACTGGTATGAATGCTAGTTGGAGGCCAGTATCTAGTGTTGTACCCCAGGGGTCAATACTGGGTCCAGTCCTCTTGAACGTCTTCATTAATGATCTGAATGATGGGGCAGAGTATGCCTTCAGCAGGTTTGCTGATGATACAAAACTGTGAGGAATGGCTGACACACCAAAGGGATGTGTTGCCATCCAGAGGGACCTTGACAGGCTGGAGAGCCGTGCTGGCACAAATGTCATGCAGGTCAACAAAAGGAAATGCAAAATCCTGCACCTGGGGAGGAATAACCCTATGTGCTGGTATATGCTGGGGGCCAATCAGCCAGAAAGGCAGCTTTTCAGTGAAGGACCTGGGGGTCCTGGAGGACAAGAAGATGAGCATGAGCCAACAATGTGCCCTTGCAGCAAAGAAGGATATCAGTATCCTGGGTTGCATTAGAAGGAACGTTGCCAGCAGTGTGAGGGAGGTGATCCTTCTCTACGCAGCACTGGTGAAGGCCGCACCTGGAGCCCTGTTCTGGGCTCCTCAGTACAAGGGAGATATGGAGCTACTGGAGAGAATCCAGCAAAGGCAATGAGGATGATTAAGGGACTGGTCGTGGTCCTCCTGGGCAGCCTGCTGTAGTTGATCCTGCTTGAGCAAGGGCATAGGACAAGATGACTTCTAAGGTTCCCTTCCAACCTCAACCACTGTGTGATTTTGTGATATCATCTCTCATACAAGGAAACTCGGAGAGCTGGAACTGTTCAGTCTGGAGAAGAGGGGACTCAAGGGGGGTCTTGTCAATGTGTATAAATACCTAATGGGAACAAATGAAGAAGAGGGAGCCAGGCTCGTCTCAGTGGTTGCCCAGTGACAGGACAAGCGGCAGTGGACACCATCTAAAACATAAGAGGATCCATCTGAACATCAGGAAATGCTTTTTTGCTGCCAGGGTGACTGAGCTCTGGAACACATTGCCCAGAGAGGCTGTAGAGTCTCCATCCTTGGAGATATTCAAAAGCTGTCTGGACATGATCCTGCGCAGCCTTCTCTGGGCTCATCTGCTTGAGTGGGGGGGTTGGACAAGATGACTTCCAGAGGCTCCTTCCAATGTCAACCATCACCTGATTCTCTGATACCAGATATAGATAAAGCTGAGATACTGAGTGCTACCTTTGCCTCCATTTTTGATAGTCTCTGTGGTGTTTTTACCTAGAGGTAGGTTCAAGAAGGAGAGGATCTGCTAGTAATGGAAGAGGGTCAGATCAGGGATTTCTGGAGAAACCTTGGCCCAAACTAGTCCATGGGATCTGATACAAGGGTTGCTATAAGAGCTGGCAGATGTCAATGTGAGGATGTTCTTCATCACCTTCAAAAGTCATGTTGGGGAAGATCTGTGACAACTGGAAGAAGGGAAACATTGCAGCTGTCTTCCAAAAAGGCTAACAGGTCCATCTGTGGAACTGCAGGTCAGTCAGGCTCACTTTCATCCCTGGGAGAATCATGGGGCAAGTCTTCCTGGAACATTTTTTTGGTCACAGAAGAAAGATGGTGACTGGGAGTAAGTGTAAATTGCAGTTGACCAAGTTGACAAGCTTTTTTTGATGAAACTACTAGATCTGCAGATCAGGGGAGAGCAATGGGTGTCATATACCTTGACCGTAGCCAGGCTTTTTATGCAGTGTCCCTCAGCATTCTTGGAGTCCTAAGTTGGGATGTCCTAGTATGGGTGAATGTCTGTCTACATGGGTAGAAAACTTGCTAGACTGTCAAGCCTGCAGGTAGTGGTTAATGGGTTGTACTCCACATGGATGCCAGTGGCAAGTGGAGTACTGCAGAAGTCTATTTTTTTTTGGTGACCTGGACAAGGGAGAGAAAATAGTGTCACTGAGTTTATAGATGACAGCAAAATATGGAGTGCAGTCAAATCAGTGTGAGAGCAGGACTGTCATTTGGAGGGAACTGAAGGGGTAGAGGCCTGCGTGAACCTTGTGAAATTCTGCAGGGGCTATGCAGGGTCCTGCACTTGTGCAAGCTGGGCCCTGACTAGCAGGGGAGCAGCTGTGCTGAGAGGTACCTGGGAGTCCTTATGGACAGGACACTATGAGTCAACAGTGCTCCCTGCCAGCAAAGGCGGCTGATAGCATCCTAGGCTGTTTTAAGGTGTGCTTAAGCCAGTGGATTGAGCAAGTGGTTATTTTCCGTTACTTGGCACTTGTTAAATGACGTGTAGAGTATTACATCTAGTTTGTGGCCCATCACCCAGTGCTGGAAAAGTGCTGATAAATTTGAGCAAGTTCAGCAGAGCGCCACCAATGTGGTCAGGGACTGGAGCACATTTCCTCTGAGGAAGAGGCTGAAGAAACTGGACTTGTTCAATCCAGAGAAGAACAGGCTTTCAGGGTACCTAACAGCAGCTGCCAGTATCTATAGGGATATTGATAAAAAGGCTGAGCCAGGATGTTTACTGAGGTGTATTAGCGTGATATCAAGGTGATGGTCCTAAATTGAAGCAGGGGAGATTCTGTGTGGCTATGAGGAAAAAGATTTCTGTCTTTAAGCATAGCTAATCACTAGGATGGGCTGCATGGAATCATCATGGATTTTCTACCCTTGGAGGTTTTTAAGACCTGACTGGAGAAAGTCCTGAGCAAACTGTCTAGAACTGAATGTTGTCCTTTCCTTGAGGAGGGTGTTGGGTTAGATACCTCCTGGGCTCCCTTGCCAAGTGAACCCGAGTGATTCTGTGTGTCTTATGAATTGTAGCTGGTGACTCATCTCTAAGCAGTTACTGATACCACTGTGAAGTTAAGCAGTGAGATACACTCCGGAGCGCTGTAGCTCTCCTGTGATTTCTTTCAGAAGCCTCTGCCATGCAGATCAGCACCCTGACATCTGAGTCTGCAGTTAACCATGGTGTAACTGAGGGAGGTGAGTGCCTGTTCTGTGGTGGGGAGCTGTCCTGGGGGAAAGGTGTTGGCTTTCTGGTGTTAGCTGATGATGTTGGCAACATGTGGAGTTGTAGCTAGTAACTCACTCTTAAGCAATAGCCAGTAACTTGAATCTGAGCAAGACAGGGGACTGTAGTTGTCTTCTGATCTCTCTTCAGACACCTTTAAGAAGGAGAACAGCAGCTTGCTGGCCAAGCATGCAGGTGACCATGGTGTAGATGAAGGAGGTGAGTGCCTGTGCTGTGGAGAGGTTTTTGTTCATTGTGACTTTTGGCTAACGTTTCTTGCTGTGAAGTTACGGGCGGCACCGTGGGCGCTGAGTACCATCTGTGCTTGGCTTTTGCAGGGTGTGGGAAGGGATCATGAGGCCAGTGCGGAGTCGGGTATGGAGGAGAGAGAGGAGGTGTTGTATGATGGCCCCATGGAGGTGGGGGATGTTGGTCAGGGCTATTATTGATGCCAAACAAATGGCCCAGCTCTCAGTCAGATTACTCTTGATTCATCTGGGCCAGAGAGGGGGCGTGTTGTAAGCTCCAGGACTGTCTGAGTATTGCCTGTTTTCCTTGCAGAAGTGACCCAGGATGCGGAAGGTGGAAATGGGGAGCACCTGAGCAACTCTCCCAGCTTCAGTAAAGAAGGTATGTGAGGGTGAAGCAAGTTCCCCGTGTCTTGGGAGAGTGTGCAGACTGGCATGGAGGCTGGGAGTTGTAGTGCTGGGCCAGGCCGTGTATGACCCTGACCCTTTTGCTCAAGTAGAAAATAGAGCGGGAATTATTAGGAGGAAAGGGGCGTGTGTGTGGTGGGCACATGTGTGTGTGATGTGTGCTAGGGAATCAGATGTTTGTGATGGAAGTGTTCAGAAGACTGATTTAGCCAGCTTAAAACTGTAGGATTAAAGTTTACTAACATTCATTAATAACACACCTCTTGCTCATGCTTGCACTTTTACTTTATTTCATGCCTTAACAAGTGATAAAGGCTTGTAGTGGTTGAGGTGTCAGTAAGGCAGTATGTTTTTGTGTCAGTAGATTTCTGACCTGCAGTTCTACCTTGTTAATTATGAATGCTGTTGAACATCCTATCAAAGTAGAGAGATACTGTGTAACACTAAAGTTGGGTTTTTTTTATTGCTTAGGTGCGCAGCTGTGTTTTCTTTGGTCACTAAGAATGGAGAGTTTACTTAATTCATGTTTTTCTTGTGGTTTGTTATTTTTTTAAACCTACATGGACATGGTGGGAAAGCTCTTCTAAATAAACAGACCAGTGGGCCTGAGGGCTGACACATGGAATGAGAAATCTGATTATTACCCTGTATGGGAGAATAGTTGATCAACACTACATCTTATGGTTATTAGTGAAATTCAGGCTGCAAAGATACAATGTTTTGCAACAATTGTTTCATATTCCATTAATTAGTTAGAACCCTTACGCAGTCATCAGTTCTGTATGCTGCATTTACTATGAGGGCATAGCAGGCCTTCATTTACGTGCCTCCAAAGCTGTTTTGCCCTCTCAGTCTATTTTCTATGGTATGTGTGCAGACCAGTGCATCTGTGAGGTCACACAGCTGCTTCTTGGAGTACATCAACATGGAGAATATCAAAACTCAGATTAGTCCTGTCCCAAATCTGGTAACAGAAGAATATAAGGGCTATCCTTTAATAAACTGCACAGGCAAAGGCTTGCATTGGTCTGTCATCCATCCAGACCAAAATACTGTTTCTGTAGAATTTTTCTAGAGTAGAGGAAGCCTATGGAATGGTACCTGGTTTCACTCTGGTTACTAATTAATTTCACACAGTGATTCCCAAGAAGTGTTAAAGGTCAAAGGTTTGGAGCTGAGATTATTGACTTTTAGTTTATAGTGAAAAGTCTTACTGAGGCATCTAAATGTGGCAAAGAACACAGAAGGGCCACGCCCTTGCCAAGAGAGCAATTACTACACTCTTAAGTTTGGCTTCCAAAGCACGTGGTAGTATTGCAGAAAACCCTGCTGAACTTATCTGTAGAAAAATCCAAAGTTCCTATCTGTGTAACAGGAAGGTTCCGGGCAGAATAGTTGAAGCTGTAGCATAGTGCTAGATCTCAAAGTCTCTGGTCTTCATGACAGCCAGGTGGTGGAGGTAGAAGTAATTTCCCCAACCTAGCAGATTCAGTGGTGGCATGGAGAAGTGAAATCAGCTGTCATCAATAATCGTAACTTTCTCAATTCCCAAGGAATATAGTTGAAGTGCACAACCTGCTTAGAAAGAATTTCACTGGAGTTGTGTAAGAGTTTCAGAAGTAAGACTGTAGGTAAATATGTAATAAAACTTTCTCATTGCTGGTGTGTCTGCAAAGCTTACACAGACTCAGATGATACTGAGAACTGTTGCTGAACTTTGAATCCATCTAATGACAGCAATCAACTTATCTGGGTTTGAGAGACTTGCTGTAATTTACCGTAGTTCAAGCATGCTTTACTCTGACTCTAGGGAGCATTATCTTTCCTGTGGATGGGTGAAAATTGTTCCATGTCGACTGTAACTTGTGGGATGGCTTGAGCTAATCTGGCCACTCACTAACACTGAAAGTGGAGGTCTTGCTCTTTGGACCAGCTCTGATGTTCATCACACCCCTCTGTGAGCCAGTTTAACTACCTCATGTTAGCAGGAAACTGACCCAGCAGAAAAATCTGGGTGGTCTTCTGCTGGACTAAAAGGTTAAATCTGATTACTAAGGGCTTTGATAAGTACTGGGCTGACATACTGGAGGAGATGGGGTGCTGGTCAGCGGTGGATTCAAAGAGAGAAGGAAGGGCAGGAGACAGGGAAAAGGGCTGGGGGGGGGTTGTTGCAGTGATAGCAGGACAGGCTGAGATGTGCATATGAAGTATGTGTTGCATGAAGCTGTTACTTTCTCACACCGTAAAGCTTTGCTGCGCTTTCAGCAGGCTGTAGAACAGCCGTAGTTTAACTGAGAATGAGTCTGGTGGTACAGGGCATGAGCTGGATTCCCAGAGCTGAAGCCTTTGACAGTACTGGCTGTTCTACATAGAACATAGCTAATTTAAAAGTACTTGACAAATAAAACATCTGTGTTCAAGGAGTTCTGGATGATGCTCTTAGTCATACGGTTTAGTTTCAGGTAGTCCTAAGAGGAGCAGGGATTTGGACTCAATGATCCTTATAGGTCCCTTCCAACTTGAGATATTCTATGATTCTATGAAAGGTTTTGTTTTCAAATTTATTAACTGAGTCACCAGAAACTTCTTGGTTTGAAATTTTTTGTCTGACTTAAATGTTTAAAAAGAAAATTTGTAGTATAAGCCAGTGTATATCAAAGCATTTTTGTTTGGTAAGAAAAGAAGTTTGCAGATTGATGGAAAACAATTTTCTTTTCCTCAAAAGAAAAGGAAAAATGTTGTTTTGTCTGTCATATAGCCCTTAGTTAAGTGCTGTAAATATGGGCATTTCATACTGGTTTCTGCTTTTTGTGTTGTAGATCAGTGTTCTCCAAACTTTTTTGATTGTGCACCACATCAGTAAAATATTTTGAACATACACACCCAATTTATGTATATTTATTTATAAATTATATGCATGTGCTACTGTACTCATTATTATGTACGTTATAAAATATGCACAAAAATAGAAATTAAAAAAGGGTGAGGTAGGGATGATGTAAACAGCATTTTTAATGGTGCAAAAATGTTTTCTTCCTGTACGGCAATGGATTGCCTTGCGCATACCCCACTTTGGAGACCACTGATGCAGATAATCCATTTAAAGATTCTCAAAATACACAGGAATGTGTAAGCTGGTGGCACCTTCCCGCTGCAGAGTTTTCTGTTCTGCCAGGTTTGATTCTTTTGTTGAATTACCAGCCAAGCAATCACATTCAGATATTTGCTGAAGACAATGTGGAAAAGAGGGAGGGGGGCGGGAAGTCTCCGAATGTGAGAAAACATGGATGAGTGAAACAGTGGGAAGGAGTTAGGACTGAGTATAAGAAACTGGGATGACTCTGTGATGCAGATGAAAACTGCCAGTGAAACTGTCATGAAAGAAGGAAACAGACTTAAAACAGGGCTGTATAGCTGGGGAGGAAGCTGTGGTAATTTGTAATAAACTGAGTCAGATCCTGTTAGTTGCCAAGGAGTAATACTGACAATCAAATGAAGTAAGTTAGTGTACGATTCATGGCCTACATGACATGCTGCTTTGCAAGGGTTACTTACTTGGCTAAACTGTGCTCCTATGTCATGCTTAAGGGTTTAGCATCTGAAATAGTTATGTAGTTACATCATGTCAAGACATCAGATACAGCTGTGCTTTCCTTGGTGCTGTTTGCAAGCTGTGTGTGGACAGAACTTTTTGCATGTTGTGGGGAGTGTGAAACCTGATGCCTATCGCCATAGCTCTAAAATGAGAGGAGAACTCTAATTTCCTATTCAGGTCCTCTCACTGCATAGACACAAGCAAACCGCCAGCTGGCTTCTCAATCATGTTCTTGAGTCTTGTCATCAAGCTGGTGTAAGTCAGCCATAGGCAAAGCAGTAAACCTGCTTGGATTTTAAGGATACAAATCATAAAAATACTTCAGGCCTATCCAGGAATCTTGTGAGAACCAGACTAGGGACATCTTTCTCATTGTCTACAGAGATGAGTACCATGTGTCACCATATGCTGCTCTCCTAGACTGCCTCAGCGTCTTATCCTAGGTTGGAGTGATGCTGAGCTAGAGACTAGTGAAAGGGAGCAGCAGTGCTATCAAAATAGGAGCAAAGACTGAATGACACAGTGTCCTGTTGCTTCACCTTATACTGTTGCTCTGTGTGCACCAAGATGGAAACACTGATGTAAGTGGACCTTGTGTATGCTTTATTGGAAATCAGCCTGATTAGAGGTTAATGCATGTTGCATGCAGCAAGTTAAGTTGTGCACGTAATCTTGAACTTGTTGGGTTCTAACTTCCTGCGCTGTAACTTCCCTTTGCCTTCAGTTTCCTTGCTTGTCAAATAAGAGCTCTGTCTGCAATCCTCAAAAGAGAAAACTCCAAAAGTACCTGGCATTACTGTGTGGGAGAAATAGCAGCAGCATGACATGCATGTGTGGTGCACAGCTGATACTAAGATTATAGACTTGAACCTTTGCATGAAAGTGGTATCTTTGCCTAGTTATATGATCTAAAGTCATGGAGTCAGAACAGCCTCACTGGTTACCAGCTGCTTAGACAGTGGCTGGCAGTAAGTGATAAATGTTCTTAACCTGCTCCAGTTGTAGAAGAATGTGTCTAGTCATAAACAGATAATTTGGGTAAAATGGCTAGTGGCTATCATATACCACAGGTTGCATAGCTGCTGTAATTGGATTGTTTTGGATCCTGTGACAATGTCTTAATTCATCTTCACACTTTATTAGTATTTAAAGCCCGTAGTATTCTTGTATAACTAGTTCAATTTCTAGAAGAGAAGACATAATAATTTGTGTGCTTTTCTTTTGCTTTTGCTTCAGATCTTAAATCATAAGCAAACAATGGAAGAGAAGTGGTAGAATTCAACGGCGAAGGAGATGCTATCTTTTCTCTTGGAGGTTTTCCATGAGCACTGAAGTCATCCATGAAGAAGTGCTTTGAAGACTAGATGAGCTGTTTCCAGTGCCTATTCTTCTTTTCTCAGAAGGGAAATGGGTCAAATAATGGACAAAATCTTTGGTATTGTTTTGTATCTGGTTTTAGCAAACAATGTTCTACTTACACAAATTGCAGGTCTTTTTTATAAATGATGTTTGGAAATTAACAAAGTCATATCCATTGACGTGCATGTGGATAAATCAAAACCTAACCAGCTTTCCGTGCAATTTTGGATCAGTACGTTTTTACAGTCAGAAGAAAGACAGCTCATCCTTCAGCCATTCCAGATGGATGGAAGTTTGCATTTGCTAGTCTCAGTTCTCCAGCTGGAACTCAATGCTCCAGACAAATGTTCTCCAAGATAGCTATCTCCTGGAGTTGGTAGAACACTGCTGTTAGGTACCCTCCCAAAGCCTATTCTTCTCCAGGCTTGAACAAGTACAGTGCCTTCAGCTTTTCCTTACAGTGCAAGTGTTCTGACCATCTTGGTAGCCCTCCACTGAACTTGCTCCAATTTTATTGATGTCTGTCTTCTTGAAGGAGTCCAAAATTGGATGCAGTATTCTAAATGTGTTCTAATGTGTGCTGAGTAGAGGGGGATAATCACTGCCCTCAACCTACTGGCTAAGCTCCTGTTAATACAGCCCAGGATGCTGTTAGCCACCTTTGCTGCCAGGGGACACTGCTGGCTCACATTTGGCTTGCTGCTTACTGAGATCCCCCTGCTTCTTTTCAGCAGAACTGCTCCCGTCAGCCAGACCCTGGCTTGTATCATTGCAAGTGGTTCCTCTCTCCCAGAGCTTTGCATTTGTCCTTTTTTAATTTTAACCTGTCTAGGTCTCTCTGACAGCCCAGCCCTTTAGCATGTTGACTGATTCTCCCCAGTTTGGTGTCATCTGCAAACTTGACAAGACTGCACTTTATCCCCTCCTCCAGACCACTGATGGAGATGTTAAATGGGACCAGTTCCTGCATAGACCCTTGTAGTACTCTACTTGTCTCAGCCATCCAGGAAGAGTACGACCTGTTAGCCACTACCATCTAAGCCCAATTATCCAACCAGTTCTTTACCATAGAATCATAGAACAGGTTGGAAGGAACCTTTAAAAATTATCTAGTCCAATGGCCCCTGCTGTGGGCAAGGACAACTTTCACTAGATCAGGTTGCTCAAAGCCCAGTCCAGCCTGACCTTGAACACTGCTGATGATGGGGGATCCCCAGCTTCTCTGGGCAACCAGTGTCTCACCACCCTCATCGTAGAAAATGTTGTCCTTATGTCCAGCCTAAATCTATCCTCTTTCAGTTTTAAACTGTTGCCCCTTGTTCTGTCACTACAGGCCTTGGTAAAAAGTCTTTCTCTGTCTTTCTTATAAGCCCCCTCTAGGTATTAAAAGGCCGCAGTAAGGTCTCCCTGAAGCTACCTTTTCTCCAGGCTGAACAACCCCAACTCTCAGCCTTTCTTCACAGGAGAGGTGTTCCATCCATCTGATCATCTTCATGGCTCTCCTCTGGACCCACTCTAACAGGTCCATGTCTTTCTTGTGGTGGGGACAATACTTCAGGTGGAGTCTCGCAATAGCAGAGTCAGGGGAGATAATTGCCTCCCTTGACCTGCTGGCCATGCTTCTTTTGATGCAGCACAGGATACAATTGGGTTTCTGGGCTGCAAGGGCACATTGCCAGCTCATATCTAATTTTTTGTCCACTGGTATATCCAAGCCCTTTTCCACAGGGCTGCTCTCAATCCTCACCTGGTATTGATATTAGGGATTGTCCTGACCGATGAGCAAGACCTTGCACTTGGTCTTGTTGAACTTCATAAGTTACACGTGGGCTCGCTTTTCAAGCCTGTCAAGGTCCTTCTGGATGGCATCCCTTCCCTCAAGTGTATGAACAGCACCACTCAGTTTGGTGTCATCTGCAAACTTGCTGAGGGTGCACTCAATCCCACTATCTATGCCATTGATGAAGATATTAAATAATATTGCTCCCAGTGCAGACCCTTGAGGGACACCACTCATTACTGGTTTCCACTTGGACATTGAGCCATCAACTGTAATTCTTGGGACATGACCATCCAGCCAATTCCTTGTCCATCCAACAGTCTGTGTAGTTTGCCCATTCAAGCCATAATGTTCTAACTTGGATACAGAAATACTGTGGGAGATGGGGTCAAAAGCCTTGCTAAAGACAAGGTATAAAAATACTACTTTCCACTCATCCATAAATCTAGTTGTTTTATCATTATAGAAGGCAGTTGGGTTGATTAGGCATGATTTACCCTTAGTTAAATGTATGCTCTTTCCAACTATTTTCTCCTTCATGAGCCCAGAAATGTGTCTTAAGTGGTCGTGCTGCATGATTCTCCCAGGGATGAAAGTGAGACTGACCAGCCTGTAGATCTCCAGGTTGACCTTTTGGTGCTTTTTTTAAAACGGATGAACCTTTTCTAGTTTTTCTAGTCAGGGACTTCCTCAATCTCCATGACTTTTTAAAGGTTACCTGCACTCACAGTGACATCAGCCAGCTCTCATAGCACACTTGAATACATCTGATCAGGTCCTGTGGACTGGTGTGGATCAAGTTTTCTCAGGTAATCCCTGACTTCTGGTAGTTTTTCTTCAGCCCTTTGACTAAGCACAGAGCCTGTGAGACCTTGTTAATGAAGACTGAGGCAAGGAACACATCACGTAACTAAGCCTTCTCTGTCTGATATCCTTAACCCGCTCCCTCAGTTGAGGAATGGGCCTGTATTTTCCTCCTTTATTCCTTTACAGTTAAAGTAGCAGCAGATGCAGCTCTGGTTGCTCTTGATGTCCTTTGCAAGTCTAAGTATAGCTGAGCCTTGGCTTTCCTGACACCATCCTTATCGGCCCTGGCAGTGTTCCTAAATTCCTCCATTGTAGCCTGCCTGCCCCTGCCTCCACATCTAATATAAGCTATTTTTGCACTGGAGCCCTGTCAGGAGCTCCCTGCTTAGCCAAGCTGATCTCCTGATTTGCCTGCCTGTTTTCTTGACTATGGGGATGGCCTGTGCTCATGCTTGGTAGAGGCCTGATGGCTCTCTTGAGCTCCTCTGCTCTTCAGAACTGTCTCCCATGAGATCCTGCCTACCATCTTCCTGAATAAGCGGAAATTTGCTCTCTGAAGGTGCAGGGCCTGTACTCTGATGCTTACCTTCCTCACTCCTCTCAGGATCTGGAGCTGTTTCTTGGGCACTACAGCCAAGGCAGCCATTCGTGACCACAGCCCCGTCCAGTCCTCCCCTGTCAGTGAGCAGCAGATACAGCCACACAAGACCTTGCTGGAGCATCTGGTAGTCTGTGTGAAGAAGTTGTCCCTGACACTGCCCAGAAATCTTCCTGACTGCTTGAATTGTTGCGTTGCTTTTCCAGGAGATGTCAGAAGTTCTCTCATAAGTGCCAGAGTCTGTGAGTCAGAGACTTCCTCGAGCCGTTTAGAGAAGCCTTTACCTCCTTCCTTACCCTGATCTGGTGGTGCTATAGCATGCTCCAGCCATGTTGGTTATCCTTACGTCCTTACTAGCCTTTCCTGGGATCATGACCCACAAGCTCTCAGCCAGCCTGTCACCTGCTCTGGATCAGAGCTCCATACATTCAACCCACTCTTTCACAGAGAGGGCAGCCTCTCTTCTCCTACCTCCATGACTTTCCTGTAGAGCTTCTACACATCCACTCCAGTGCTTCAGTCATGCAAGCTGGCTTGCCATGTCTGTTACTCCAACAATGTTGCACTTCTGGGAACTCATGGAGAACTGTAATTCTTCCTGCTTGCTTTCCATGCTGCATGCATTTGTGCATGTACTTTCATGCCTCCTCCTGCCAATGTTTTTTTTTTGGTTGTTTTTTTGGTTGGGGGTTTTTTTTTTTGCTTCTGAGGTCTATTTTGTTCCTGTCACCCTGTACCCTTTACTTTGGAACCCTATCCACTACTACTTAACTGTGGGTTGTGATCTCCCTTCCCATCATTCCTACTTCAGAGCTTTCCTCATGAGGTTGGCTAGCCTGTTGTCAAAGATTTTACATTAGACAGCTCCGTAGGACATTTAAGCTACTCCTGTGTGGCTTTTCTGGTAGTGAAACCTAACTAAAGTTTCTAACAGTATGAGAAAGATCACAGGTAACTTATGTCCTGTTGTAGGAAGTACAGACCCTACAGAAGACTTGAGATCTTCCCTTATTGTTATACATACCATTTAGATGTTTACTTCCACTCACACAATTTCTTCTGTGCTTTGTAGCTGCACTGCAAGAGTGTTCAACAGGATCTTTTGTTAGAGCTAGACCACCTTACCTCTACTGCTCTCTGTAAATATTTGGTCCTAATTTATTAAAAAACTTATTCATATGTAAAAAAGCTTTGCCATATCTTTTTTGTAGTATATACCTACACTTTATATATAATCTTGAAAGTCAGTAAACAATACCCAAAATAATCTTTAACCCAAAGTGATTTATTTTATGTATGTATTTTTAAGTCACAGCTCCTTAGCAAAATGTCCTCCATTGCATCTTCAACAGGTTTATCAGGATGATGCTGTCTACTTCTTAGTAACTTTTTAACAAGTTTCCACACAAAGATGTCCTTTGTCATGTACTGTGGTAAGAGTAAACCTGTAGCTTCTTTTCCTGCTTGGACAAAGGCTTGCTTTCTGTTCTTGATATAAGAAATAATGGGCAAAAAAATGATTGTTTGGAGGAACTGGCTGAAATTGCTCCCAGAAACTATACCAGTTCATCTAATACACTGCATTCATCCTGTGCAATTTAATACTGAACAGCAAGCAAAAGTCTCACATAGGGTGTGGTTTTGAAAATTCCTTGACACCTGATACTGACTTTGTTTCCAAAGCAAGAAGCAACAGTCTTCAAATATAGTAAGCAGTTGTGGTTAATTAACAACAGTTGCTGGAAGTCTTCAGCATAATTCGTGGAATTTTGGAGCTTTATCAGAAGTAGAAAAACCCACGTATATGGCAGGCTGATGTAAGACCAAGAACTACAGGCTCTACGGTGTCTTGCTGCCTGCTTTCACCCACTCGCTTTGCAAAGTGTCTGCTGTGCATGAGAAAATTCTACCCACTGGTAGAAGTATAGACTTTGCAGTTTTCAAAGCAAGAGTGAAGCTCAGGGCTTTTTTTATCGGTATTGTTGTTTTCTTTGTTTTTTTATGATGGGTAGGTTTTCTTTTTTTCTGTAGGGATGTGAAGCCAGACATTTGGGAAAATAAATTGGCCTGACTTCCTGCAAGTTTTGGTGACAGCACTTGCAGTGCCATTCCCCATGTCCCTCTCTCCAAATGTCTCCTGTGCAATAACTAAAAAAGAATAAACGCTTTTTCATGAAAAATTTGTGCTCAATCTTATTTTGCAGTGAATGCAAAAATAGGCAGTTTTCAATAGCAAAGAGTAGAAGCTTACTTGAGATGCACAGTTACTTCTGGCTTGTGTACAACTTGAGTCCAGGAGATGCAGATTGTATTCCAGGAAGCGAGCCTGCCCTCTGACACCCTGAAGTCCCAGCTCATGTTGATTTTGAGACCTGATTGTTGCTAATAACAGAAACTCGCAGTGAGTACAAGCTGCTGTTAAGTACTTGTGCTCACAGGACACATCCCCATTGATTCCTTGGTCCTGACTCCTTTTCTTTGTATTAGCTTTATCCTACGGAAGCAGTGCCTGCAGGAAATCCTGCTCCTCGTTTATCCCAGAATAAATGAGATCAGAGCTCAAGTGCTGGTGTAGAACTGATTTGATGGATTTTGGGCATCAAACTCAAACCACAGTTGTCAAGGCAGCTTTGTGTTGGGCTGACATGCACAAGCAAGCTTTCAGTTGTTTGCAAACACCCTGTCCTGGATCTAGCTGTGCTGGTTGAAAAGTTACACCATCCTCACTTTATCATTGGCTGTGCAACTGTTGGGAACAGTCTCTAATAGATTACAGTGTGAAAGCAGTTGTGTGAGTTGAAAGAGCCTTCACTGATGCCCAAGAGCTAACTTGATATGGAGCTCCACAGGCATCGTTGTGAGGACTGGCCTCCAGGAGCAGGACTGCAGCAAAAGGCAGGGACAGCAGGAACGCCAACAGGCAACACAGTTGTCTTTTGAGCAGACTTGTGTCTGTTCCTTAAAACCAGGGGCTGATAACACCTGGCAGACTGCAAGGAGGTGATGCCCACCCTATGTGGCACACTGCTGCTGGAACACAAGTTTGCAATGCTCTTCAAGCAGTAGCAGGTTAATTTACTAACACCCAAAGCAGCAAGGGGGAGGTGAGCTTGTGTGCTCTCGCTGTCTCTAGGTGCAGTTTGGGCTGTGGCATAGGTACAA